AGAGGAGGATGGGAGGGAGAGGGAACTGGGATTGACATGTAACAAGCTTGTTTCTAATTTAAAATTTTAAAATCACAAAAATTAGTACATCCCCACAGAAGGTCTATCTGAAAATTGACTGGATTTATCATTATGGGAGACCTAAATAATACCAAGGCAACCAGGCAATGTTGTTTACACATATATTCTAAAGGATTTGTTGAATACAAATGGAATCAGAGACAGGTTTTTAACTGGTAATTTATTTGGGAGTCATACTAACACAATGAATCTGTAACAAGCTTGACAATCCTTGGGATACATTCCCAGAAGCTTCCCAATGCTGGCTCAAACGAGAGAGAGAGAGAGAGAGAGAGAGAGAGAGAGAGAGAGAGAGCTCTCTCCCATTAGTTACACCCTTTTAGCGTAACTGTACAGGTCTTGTTTAAGCAATGTACTGTTGATATTTAATGCAGCCGTCTTCCCCTTCATGTATAAAAATCAGGAAATCTTTCAGGATGTGGTACTGTACTTTCCCTCTTAAAATTTTTCTGCCTCCTCTTCCATGATGTTCCCTGAGTCTTACATGTAGGTGCCAAAATCTAGAGATATTGCTTGGGACTAATCATTTGTACTCTTCATTTTGACCAAAAATATAACTTTTATATATTATAACTTCTATATAATAACTTCATTATACTGTAAAACAGGATTCTTTGCTGTATGATGAGAAGTACACTTATCAATGGTTAGACTATCTGCGTGTTTTAAGTTAAATCGAAATAATTATGTTTAGGTTTGCTGTAATGACAGGAAATTTTTCATGGAGAAAGTGACTCCAGCACCTGCCAGAAATTTAGGTCTTTGCTTTCGATCTAGAAATAACTTACTGTGGGCACTCAAGATGGCTTTTTATTACTTAAAAATTCCATATTTTTGTAAGCTTAGTGGTTGTTTGTACAGTGATTACTTCTCGGCTATATTGAAACAAACCAGACACAGCCACATGTTCTAAATAAGCCAATTATCAGAGATAAACCAATCATGAAAACTATAAAATAATTCATACAATATGGCCATATTGGGAGGATAGACCAGTTACTTCCTCAAGTTTGTCTTCCCCAAAATAATACTCAACACAATCCCTAATGAATTACAGTTATTAGCATCACACTTAGTAACAATTCCAGAGCTCTTGCATTCATGAGAAAAGATGAGGTTCCTCTTTTCTCTATATGGTTTCTTTTGTTTACCATTAGCCTATGCTTATCTAGAAAAGCAATAATATAGTTAATATAGGAAAAACTGTTCATTGCTAGATAAAGAAATTATGGTACATTTATACAATGGAGTCCTACTCACTGAAAAAAAAAAATCTTGAAATCTTGAAATTCTCAGGCAAATGGATAGAATTAGAAGAAACCATACAGAGTAGGTAACCCAGACCCAAAAATTAAACCATGGTATGTACTTACTCATAAGTGGATGTTATATATAGAACAAAGTATAACCATCCCATAACCCACAACCTCAGAGAAGCTAAGAAGCAAGCATGACCATAACAGAGATATATATGGTTCCCCGGAGAATGGGAAAGAGACAAGAGTTCCTGAGCAAATTGGGAGCACAGGGGGCAGGGGAAGGAGGTAGGATGAAGGGGAGAGAGGATGGGAACATGAGGGATCAGAAAGATGGAGGCAAGGGAATAATAAAGAAGGAGAGCAAGAAAAGAGATAACTTAATGGAGGGAGCCATTGTAGATTTAAAGTGAAATCTGGCACCAGGGAAATATACAGGCATCCACAAGGGTGACCCCAAATAAGAATCTAAGCAACAGTGGAGAGGCTACCTTAAATGTCCTTCCTCCATAATGAGATTGTAAACTACCTTAAATGCCATCCTAGAGCCTTCATCCATTTTCTGATGGAAGCAGAAACAGACACCCATAATGAAAAACTGACCAAACATCCTGGAATCCAGTTGTAGAGAGGGAAGAGTGATGAGCATAGGGATCAAGACTATTCTGGAGAGACCCACAGAAATAATTTCCTGAGTTAGTAGATGCTCAAGGACCCCTAGTCAGACAGCTGGGGAACCAGCAGAGGACCGAACCATGCTCCCTGTATGTGGGTGTTAGTTGGGGTGATTGGGCAGTCTATGGGGCATCTGCCAGTGGAACCAGTATTTATCCCTAGTGCACGCATTTTGTGAGCCCATTCCATATGGAGGGATACTCTTTTAACCTAGATACATGGGGGAGCACCTAGGCCCTGCTCCAAATGAAGTGACAGAGTTTGATGATCCCACATGAGAGACCTCACCCTCCCCAGGTAGTGAATGGGACTTAGAATAGGGGTTGTTGGGGCCATAAGAGGAAGTGAGAAAGAGAGAACTTCTATTGGTATGTAAAATAAGATTGTTCTTAATTAAAAAAGAATTAAAAGTAAAGCAAAACAAGAGCATAATCCATCCTGTGTTCTAGAAAAAAATGGGTGGTCAAGCAATATACTTAGGACCATCAACACTGAATTACTTGGCATCATCTTCAAGGAAAGTCATTGTTGCTTCCAGTGACAGAAGGTTTAATATTCTCAGGCAAAATTGAGAGACCAATATAGCAGGGTTATAGAGGCATGCATACATATACATACATACATATATACATATAAACATACACACTTACATGTGTGTGTGCTTCTGTGTCATAAACCACTATACTACAAACATAATAGACATATTTGCGACTTTCTACAATACTGGAATATGTGGAATGACAACAAATTCCCAAATCAGCATCAATTATTTTGGCAGCCAGTTTTCCAAGTAGACCCAATTTCCCAATTACAATGAAAGGTAATTTTTAGGTTCTTATTTTTATTTTATATGTTTGTGTATTAGCTTTTGTCTGAATATCTGTCTGTGTTGCATATGGGTGCAGTGTCTGAAGAGACTAGAAGACTACATCAGATGTTCTGGGCCTAGAGACACAGATGTTTGCAAGCTGATATGCGGGGGCTGAGAATTGAACGCGGGTCTTCAAGACAAACAGCAAGTATGTTTAACTGCTTATCCATTATTCATGTCACAAGACAGTTTTTTATAAGGCAGACCTTAATCACTAATTAACATTCAATTTCAGTGGGGACTGTTCTTGAGCAGTATGAAAGGTTTCAATGCCTCTATCACAGAGGATGCTAGAGACTAAACAGTGGTTTCCAAAAGTGGAGCAAAGAATACAAAAGGCCAGAGATCTGTAATATGTCTACTTATATAAGAGAAGCAATTTGATCTCTGGTGACAGTGACACATAAGTATAGAAATATGTTATCTGAACCAGGTCATACATGTCTTGACTCTAGGTCCAAATTCTCGATGGCAGAAAGAAAGAAAAACATAATAGATTTGTCAAAATCAATTTACTGAAACACATCACAGAAATGGAAAAATTATAAATCTTGTCTACAAAAATGTTATAACTTATAGAAAACATGAAGATAAGTTATGGAATATAAATAAGGCAATTTAGCTCTCAGCCTGGTTATGAGGACATGGACATGATTTCTTGCACCTGGTTCCCCAAATCCTGACTCTTAGGTCTGGCCATTAATTTAACCTTGGCACGACACTTCTCCATAACAAAAACTGGTCTGGAAGGGAGGAGCGGGGAGAGACTGGGAGTAGTAGATGGAGGGTAAACTTATAATCAGGATATTTTATGAGAAAAGAATCTATGTTCAACAAAAGGAATAATGTTAAAATTGTCACTCTGTCTTTCCATAAACAAATTTCATTTGGAATTTAGAATCATTTTCATAATAACTGTATTCTCCCATATAAAATTTTATTTTAGTAATAACCATTTTTAAGTGAGGAAGAATTTACTGCCCTGAACCTTTGAGTATGTTTCTCAACCCTCTCCATTTTCTAAGTGATATCTTATCACGCTGACTCTTCGGGACCCATAGTATCCCTCACTGTTTAATAATTTTCCATTCACTGCTCCTTCACAGGCTTCTTGACTAAAAATAATTTCTTAACAACATATGATGTAATATGATGTAATCTGATATCTTCACAGTCTCCCCCACAAAAATAATATATATGATTTCTTATCATAATGATCAACTTTACTTCCTGCTTTAACAATAGTACTGAATAATTTTAAAAAATCAGACACAAATGCTCAAAATAAATGAAATCACACACACACACACACACACACACACACACACACACACACACACACAATTTTCATGGCATACAATTTAAGATGTATTATGTGCAATGACACTTGACAGTGAATTCTGCGGCAATGAAACAAACCCCTCCTATAAAACTTTGTCTCTGACTTTCCTGTTTTGTAGAAAAAAAAAAAAAAAACAATGGTAGAGTAAAAAGAAAAAGGTGTGTTAGAGAGCAACAATTGTATAGAAGAATTCAAATCTAAAGTATTTTTTAAAATCTCAAACTCTCTGAAAATTCAATGCAGAAATTTCATTTAAAAGGATTTATTTATAGACAAGTCTGCAGAAAAAAAAAAGCTCAACAGAAAAAGATATGTCTTGTCAAGTATGTATGATCACAAGTTCATGATTTAAACGATTTAAACTTAAACAATGAAATCCTTGAGGATTTCAAATGTAAGAAGAAATGCACTTAATGCCACTCTCCTGAGACCTGTGTTTGCTGCTCGCGAGAAATCGCAAAGAGAAACCTTCATTTAAGTGAAGAAATCCAGCGCTCAAGTCACTCTTCTGCAAACTGGAAGAGCGACTGTGTTTGGTACTCAGGGGAAATCGCAACTAAAGAGAGATCATTTAAAAAATGAGATTCCGTGCTCAAAGCTACTCTCTCCCAAAGTGGAAGCGACTGTGTTTGCTGATTGGGTAAAATCGCAAATACAGAGAAGCTTTCATTTAAACAATTAAACCAATGCTCAAAGCTATTCTGCTGCAGCCTTCAAGTGCGGATGTGTTTGCTGCTCTGAAGGAAATCGCCAACAAAGAGAACCTTTGGTTCCTTTGGTTTCCTAGGCAGCCTGGTCCGTCCACAGACAGGGATTGTGACGCACTTCCTGTAGCGGATCCTTCCCAGGGGTCGGCTGACTGCGGTAAGTCTTTGGTTTTAATGTGGGTTTTTACAGTCGGTAATGACCAGGAAACGTTTTATGCGAATTCTATGTTTCTGAATCCATGCCGCAGAATAGTGTAGGGATGTGTCTTAAAAATAATTGTGACAAAGAAGGAGCAGATCCTCATAAAGTACATCATGGAGGCTGCAGAAAAGGGGACAAAACCTCAGGGACTGGTTTCTCTTTTCTTTCTGATTTCCCAGAGCATCACCTTCTCGAGTTATAGTTTATCCAGGAGTATTTAAGTTATCAATAAATAAAAATTATTGTATGTAAAATATAATAGTTAATTTCCGGTGAAGTTTACATATTTTGATAATATAAATTTTAAGAATTTTTAAACAAATACAAAAAGTGAGCACATACCTCACCCAATACTTTAACACCCTTTAATCCTATATGGCTAACTTTGCTATGTTAGAACATTACTTTGCTATGTTCTAAAGACATTCTATGACATGCCTTTGCTATGTTAGAAAGTGCTGCCACATTTGAAAAATAAAAGTTGAGAAGTTAAGAACTAAAGCATCTTTAAGAGAAATGTAAGTACAGTAGTGATTAAAAGAAAATGAAAAAATATGGGAATATATTAAACAAATGTGAGATAACAGAAATGAAAAACAATAGTATTCAAGTGGAGGAATTCAAAATTAAAGGTTTTTGCTACATTTTATGTGAGTATATAAAAAGGATCCATTAGAAATAGAGATATGCATTTTTGTAAGAACAGCATAGCCTACCAAACATAAAGAAAAAGTTACCAAACAAAAAGCTCAACATTCACAGGCAAGTAAACAGACAACTTAAATGGTGGGGATCTTGGTCACTTTTCAATTGCTTTGAAGATACACATGACCAAGGCAACTCTTACGAAACAAAACATTTAGCTGGGGTCTTGCTTATAGTATCAGAGGTTCAATCCATGATCATCATGGTGGAAAACATGGAAGTAAGTGTCTCAATGATGATATTTGAGAGGTAATTTAGAGTTACAAACAGTTTCACTAGCACAGAAAGAGAGCTGGACCTGACATGGGCTTTTGAAATCTGAGAAGTTGCCCCTAGGAGCACAGTTTCATCAAGAATGACATACCTTCACCAACAAAATTCCCTAGATATCATTCCTCTATAAAACCATACCAATTTAAAATGAATCTACTATTTCAAATGATGTGTTTTTTCCCCCTATGAATTGTTATCTTGGGAAACCCCAGACACTCCCAAAATCATTAAGGGTATTACCGTTGTTTATGATTGCTGACTGCAACTGAATGTAAGACATTAATTTGAAGAAAACCCACACTGCATGCAGGGCACAATGAAATGAAGCTAGAAACAATAGGAAAACTTCCACAGTTGTGTACAGATCCCACCCACCTAAGTTTCCAACTTGTGAAAATGAAAGAAAGAAAAAAATTGAGCCAGGAGTTGTAGTTCTCATCTTTAGTCCCAGTATTTGAAAGACAGAGGCTGCCAGATATCTGGGTTTGCGGCCAGCCAGGTCTAGAGATCCATTTTGTGGACACCTAGGCTTAGTCAATGAAAAACAGAAAACTGGTAAACATGTAATTGAAAAATGGGGGGTCATTTTCTAGCTCTGGTGAACCACAGAACTTGGCAGCTGCAACTATGTGATTCTGCAGTTAAAGGTAGAAGAAAAAGGGGTATGGAATTCATTCCAAAGACTATGGAAAGCCTCTGAGGTCAGGCATGTATCGAGTGTCCCTGAATATAGGCCAACAGAGGCCATTGCATGAAGTTGTGAAGTTGAAGCCTGGATTGCCTTGAAAAGCTAAGTTGTAGAATACCTGCTTAGGAAAACTGCACACAGGAGTAGAATCAGCCCTAAATAGAGAAGTATGCTGCAGTTAAAAGTACTAAAATGAGTTGCAGATCTGTAGAGTGTTTTGACTTCTGGCATGGAAATGCAGAGTTTGGGTTTTAATTTGGTTCCATATTTCCTCATTATGCTCCCTTCCCTATGTTTTGGGATGGTAATTAATATCCTGTGCTGTTATAAATTGGGAATTTGTGAATTCTTTTTCTAATTTTAATTTTGTAAGAGATACTATTGAGAAAATGCATGAATGTCAGAAGAGACTTTGAACTTCTAAACATTGTTGATACTGGTAGACTATGGGGAGTTTTGAAATTGTACAGAAAGCATTTTTGCATTATGACATGGCTTCAAGCCATTGGTGGCCAGGCAGTAGAATGTGTTGGTTTGAAAAAAAACGATCCTTGACAGGAGTGGCACTACTAGAGGGTGTGGCTTTTTTTAGAGTGGTTATGGCCGTGGTGAGGGATTATGTCCCTGTGTGAGTGGGCTTTAAGATTTCCGCTGCTTAGGCTACCCCTAGTGAGATGGTATACTTCATGATGCCTGCATATATCATGTAGCCGATGCTTCTCCAGTAACATGGACAGTGAGAGACAAAGCACTTAGTCTCTGGATTTACTCAGTATCTGTTGCTATGCCTCCTTCCATTTCTGAATTTGTTAATTTTGTAAATTTTTACCTTATTTTTAATTAATTTGGGTAATGTTTTGCTGATCTAATTGATTTTCATAGAACCAAATATATGTTTCATTGATTCTTTGCATTGTTTTTCTGTTGTATAGATTTTAGTCCTGAGTTTGATTATTTCTTGCCATCTAATCTCCTTGGATATGATTACTCTTTGTGTTCGAGAGCTTTCATTTGTGATGTAAGTTGCTAGTATGTGATCTCGTCAATTATTTTATGTAGGTACTTAGTGCTATAAACTTTCTTCTTAGCATAGCTTTCATTGTGTCCCATAAGTATTTGTATGGTATATATCAATTTTCATTGAATTCTATAAAGTCCTTATTTTTTTTCAGTTTGATCCATTTTTCAGAGTTGTTTACTTCCCATGTTTTTGTAAGCTTTGTGATGTTATTAATATGAAGATTTATTCCTTTAAGATATAATAGGATACAGATAATTTTTTCAATTTCTGGTATCTGTTGAGAATTGTATTATGTCGGAGTATGTGGGCATTTTAGAGAAAGTTACATGCAGTGTTCAGAAGAATGTGTGTTCCTTTGTGTTTTATTGAACTGTTCTGTAATTATCTGTTTGAGCTGTTTGGTTATAACATCTGTAGTTCCAGTACTTCTCTGTTTAAGTTTTTCAGAATGACCTGTGAACCTGTGAGGGTGGGGTATTGAAGTCTCCCATTATCAATGTTTGAGACCAGCAAATGATTTAAGCTGTATTTGTCTTTCTTTTACAAACTTGAGTGCTTCTTGTTTTTAAGTTACACATGTTAAAAAGTGAACTGTTTTACTGCTATATTTTTCCTTTGATGAGGAAGTAGTATCCTTTTTTACTTCTTTTGATATTTTTGGTTTGAAATCTTTTGTTAGATATTAAAATGGCTATTCCTGCTTGCTTCTTAAGTCATTTAAAAAATATCTTCTCCTAAATCTTTACTCTGAGAAGTGTACTGTGAAGTTTTTAGTATGAGATATCTCCAGCTATTTTATACAGGCATTTAGTGCTATGAACTTGCCTCTCAGCATAGCTTTCATTGTGTTGCATACCTAGGCTGCATTCCTTTTCATTTAATTCTAGAAAGTCTGTCCTTGATATTAGGGTGTTTCTCATGGATGCAGCTAAAACATGGATCCTGTATTGACATCTCTTATGTTAGTCTATATCTATCTGGTGGGGAACTGATACCACTGATATTATAAGAGATATCAATGAGCAATGACTGTAGATTCCTGTTAAATTGTTAATTGCTGTTTTTGGTGGTGGTGGTGGTGGTGTGTGTGTGTTTCCTTTCTTTTGAAATTGTTGTTCTGAGATGATTTATTACCTATGTGTTTGCCTTGTTATATTTATGCTCCCTGGGTTGTAATTTTTCTTCTAATGTTTCTGTAGGCCTGTATTTGTAGATTGATATTTTTTAAATTAAGCTTTATCATGGAAAATATTATGTTCTCCACCCATGATGATTAAGAAGTTTTCAGGAGATAATAATCTGGGCTGGAATCTATGTCTCTCAGAATCTACAGCACTTCTTTCCAAGCTTTTCTAGGTTTTAGCATCTTCACTGAGAAGTCAGGAGGAAATGTAAGGATTTGCCTATATCTGCTACCTTAACATTTACCCTTGAAGATTTTTTAATACACTTTCTGTGTTCTGTATTTTGAATATTTTGGTTATTGTCCGCCAGGAGGATTTTCTTTTCAGAACAAAAATCTATTTTGTGTTCTATACACTTTTTGTACCTTTATGGGCATCTCCTTATTTAGGTTAGAAATTTTTCTGCCTGATTTTGTTGAACATATTTTCTGGGATTTTGAGCTGGGATACTTCTTGCTTTATTCCTATTATTCTTAGATTTTGTCTTTTCACAGTGTCCCAGATTTCCTGGATGTTTTGTCTCAGTTTTAGATTGAATATTTTCTTTGATTGATTCATTTCTTCTATTGTATCATCAATGCCAAATAGTCCCTCTTACGTCTTTTGTATTCTGTTGGTCAAGGTTACTTCTATTGTTCCAGTTTGATTTCAGATTTTTTTCATTTCCATAACTCCCTCAAATTGAGTTTTCTTTATAGTTCTACTTCCTTGAACAGTTTTGTTTGTGTCTCTACCCTGTTTGTTTGTGTTTTCTTGCATTTCTTTTGTTTTAGTTTTTTTGGTGGGTTTCCAGACAGGGTTCCTCTGTGGCTTTGGAGACTGTCCAGAAATAGCTATTGTAGACGAGGCTGGTCTTGAACTCACAGAGGTCTGCCTACTTCTGCCTCCCGAGTGCTGGGATTAAAGGTGTGCGCCCCCACTGCCCGTCTGTTTTTGTGTTTTTTTTTTTTTGCATTTCTTTAAATGATTTAAAGGCTTTCTCTTGAAAAATCACTGTCATCATTTTACATGCAGTTATATCTTTTTCATATGTATTAGCTATATTGCAATATTCGTGTGCTACTATGTTAAGGTTGCCTGCCTCCACCAGAGACATATCACCCTCACCGTAACTTAATGTCGTTTTACTCTAGTATCCGGGTACCTGGAATTGGGAGAAGATTTTGTGATCCATTGAGAATTGGTCAGAGAGCAAAGAGAGACCACACCATGTGTTCTGCTAAAGATCTGGGGCTGATTATTGGGGAATGAGGACTGGAGAAACAGGAGAGATGAAGCTCTGTAGTTACCCTACATGCTTCCCTGTTATGAGTGGTTTATGGGTTAGCAGGCATGCCCAGAGGAATAGGAGGATTGAATAAAGTGAGGAGTTTGGAAAGAAATTTAGGAGGAGAAGGTCCATGCAATCCACAGGAGATATGGGCATGTAGGGGAAAATAACTGCTGCAGGTTTTCTTTTCTATTGCTAGGGATGAGAATGAGGAAATAGGTTTGTCAGAGAGGAAGGAGTGGTAAAAGTCTTCATTTAGTTTACCTGTTTCCCTGACATACTCAGCTGGTGGGATTCTTGGTGGGGTTGGAGGCTAGGAGAATGGGATGAATTGAGGGGAAGAACTTTAGAGGAGAAGATTTTTGTGATCCATTGGGCATGGTGTCATATATTAAGGAAAGACCTTAGTCGGTGTTTATACAGGGTGTGGGATGAGACTGTGAGGTTTGGATTGAGAGCAAGCAAAGAAAAGGAGATCTAAAGTCAGACTACTTGCTTCTTTAGCAGGAATTCATGGAAATCCCTTAAATGTAATATCCTGTAAAATGAAAATACAAGAGCCTATCATAATACTTCTAACATAAATTTGAACAAGATATACATTACCATTCCAAAAAAGAGAAAAGTAAATATAATGCGGAAAAGGTGGTCCAAAGCAAGTCTGAGAACTCAATGGGCAAACTTTGAATTCTCCATGTTCATGTTTAATATCAAAGCACTAGAGTCTGATTGTTTCATTGGGACCGCTGGCTCCTTAATAATGACAAGGAGACTTGCCATTAGTTATAAAAGCTCAGTTGATAGGTAGGCTTGTTTCTTTCTTTTTTTTTTTTTTCAAATTTTTTTTATTAAATTATTAATATTTTCACATGTACTTTCCCTCTCCCTCTCCCTCCCCCCACCCCCATTCCTTCTCCCCCACCTCCG